TGTATGAGTGTACTTTCTTCTTATCTATAGTATCTTGTTTAGTTATCTTATGTTTGAGGACAAAAAAATTGGAAAATAGTTTAAGTAAACATTTAATTTTTGAGTTAGCAATTAAAATTTGTTCAAAAAAAGATGAATATTAATATTTGAGTATTAAATTATAGTAACTCATGAATTCTAAGTTCTTTACAGGAATCCAATGTGTGAAGATAGAAATTATTAAAGCAGTTTTATAATAGTAAAACAAAGCAAGGAGGAATAAATATAAGGTGAGGCTGTAAAGATTGTTAATCTCCTTGTTTGACAGCAAGATGACTAAAAGAGGTTTTTTATTATCCCTAAGATGACTTCTAAAAATATATCTGTCCTATGAAATGTTCTTTTCTTGTACAAAATTTATTTATTGTGTGTTTTCAGATGTTTTAGCATTGTTTCCTTAGAACGTAGCTCTTTAAAAAGCATAAGCTTTAAAATAGACTTTTCTTTAGAAATTCAGAGTTGAAAATCTTGTGGTGTGTATATATTTATACCTAGAAATCTGTTTCTTTATTTTGAATGAATAAAAGATTGCCAAAGATACAGTATAAATCCTCATTTTCCTTTTTTATTATTCTGGTGCCTGGTACATACTCAAATTAAGTTTGTGGACATGATTAGTTTCATTCATTGACTATTGATTCCCTCTTGAGTATAAAAGGTACTAGTCTTAAAAATTAATAACCCTCAATCTTGGTTCAACTGTCTAATTTATGTTTGGGCAAATCATTTGGTTTCTTTGCCCCTGGTTTTATAGCCACAAAGTGGGAATAAAAGTTATGTTTCCTACCATCAACCTATGGAGGGACATTAGATAAGCATCCCTATACCTGCATTCCATGGTTCCTACTTCATGGAAAAAATGAAAACTGTTATTTACTCAAGGGTGAACTTTTTTCAGAGTTCTACTCTTTTCTCTCCTGGATGCAAGTTCATCCATATTTGTACCTGTTCTTATCCCATGTGGATGAGATGTATCTATTTAAGGTTACTCCTTTCTTTCTTTCTTTCTTTCTTTCTTTCTTTCTTTCTTTCTTTCTTTCTTTCTTTCTTTCTTTCTTTCTTTCTTTCTTTCTTTCTTTCGAAAGAAAATTTTAATATATTTTTTTTTTTTTTAGTTTTTGGCAGATACATTTTTGTTTGTATGTGGTGCTGATGATCAAACCCAGGCCACATGCATGCCAGGTGAACGCGCTACCGCTTGAGCCACATCCCCAGCCCTTAAGGTTATTCCTTTCAACACTTTCCTTTGACTTTATCACATTAGCTCCACCCTTTTGCAGAACATTACTGCATTTGTCACTTTTGATTTAGTTAGATTTTTCCCTCTTTACAATGTAGGGTTATACATAAAACATCAATAATTCTTAACTTCATCTTTCCATATTATCCTTCTGAAGTAACTAATGTTGGTTGTGTCTGTTCATTTTTAAACACTGTATACATTTTCTGTCTATAAATGTATTTTCCCCTTTTTTAATAAAAAATTAAATTATAAAATATGTATTACTGTACAATTTACTTTCTGCAGCTTGCTTTTGTTCCCTAAATATCTCACGGGCATATATTTAATTATTATTTTTGGCAACTGTATGATATTTCATAGAATGTATATGTAAATATTTAACTTTTTACTTTTTGATTGCTATTCACATTCTTTCTGATTTGCTGAAGTTAATAAAGTTTTGTGCTTGCTCATATTTCTGATGTATTTGAGCTTTTGTTTTAATTGATAGATTTTTAAGAGAGATAGTGCTATATCAAGGGGCATTCATATTTAAAATTTTGATACTATGAAATTACTTTTCAAAAAGATTGTAATATATTATCCTGCAAAAGCAGTGTTTTGTCTTACCATTCTCCCCAAAGTTCTGATGGTCTCTTTGCTGCATTAATTTTCATTTCCCTCAGTATTATCGAAGTTAAATATGTATTGCTAATTGTTTCCTGTTATATAAATTATCTATTAATATCCCTAAGCCTAGTTTTGTTGGCTTATTCTTTTCTTAAATGGTAGGAACTCTTTGTTGTAGGATCATTATCTCCTTGACCCATGTTAGGAATATCATTAGTATACATACATTTAAAAAAATTTTAAAAGACACCTTAGCCATTTTGAGTTAATTATGTTTTGGGTAGGGGATTGAACCCAGGGACACTTTATCATTGAACTACATTCCCAGCTCTTTTTTTAAATTTTATTTTGAGACCAGTCACACCAAGTAGGGGAGGCAGGCCTCCAACTTGAGATCCTTCTGCCTTAGGCTTTGAGTATCTGGGATCATAGGCATTTGCCATTGTGGTTGGCCATATTGGGTTATTTTGAAGCAACTTTTTAAGTAGGAACCTTTCCTACTATTAACAGTCATCATGGAGTTCTTTTGCTTAACTTGGGACAGGAATCAGGAAATGACAAAGTACAGCTAAGTTTGGGCTTATTGGCTGTTCGTGTTAACAGACTACTTTGCTCAATTCGAGAAAAAAATCATAAAGATGGGGCTGGGATTGTGGCTCAGCGGTAGAGTGCTCGCCTAGCACATGCAAGGTCCTGGGTTCAATCTTCAGCACCACATAAAAATAAAATAAAGATATTGTGTCCAACTACAACTAAAAAATAAATATTAAAAAAAAGAAATCATAAAGGTAAGCAATAACACCCAAACAAGGCTTTATTCCTGTGCAAAAGGAAGACAGTGCACAAGATAGGACCCTGAACTGCTATTTGAGGAGGTAAGAAGCAAAGCTTATATAGACAAAGATTGTGGGCTGGCACAGACACACAGTCTGCCCTTGCACACAATCTCAGAAGTTCTGTACATTTTTGGTCAGTTCCTTGCCGTCAGCACCAGGGTTGCACTTGACATGGTGTTTTGCATGTGTTCATTGGGTTTCTCTGTGCTCAGCTCATGAAAGATATCCTTATTCACTTCCACCATCCAGGAAAATCATGTATAGGTCAAGTTCAGGCCTATTAAACATGTATAGGGTTGTTGAAAAGCTTAAGGGAGGAGTCAGCAGCTCCAGAACCTGGAACCTAATGATTAATGGAAACAATATTTTAAAAGCAACTCGCTTTCAGTTCGTAACCATGAAGGGGCAATTAGGGACCTGCTCAGTCCTGCTCAGTCTTACTATCAGACACTCAGTTTTACTCTGAAATTAATCAGGACAATGTGATATTGATATAGGCAACCCCAGCAAAATAGAGTGCTCAGGAACAAATGAGTGTGTTTGGAATCTTGAAGTATGAGGAGAGGACATCTTAATTGAATTGAGGGAAGAATGAACTAATTATTTTAGATAATACACTCTTTATTTATAAGAAAATAGTCTTTACAATTTTACCAAAACATTAAGTCAGTCAAATAAATGATCCTGGTTGACAGATGAGGCTCTTTCTTTTAAGAGCCAATAGCAGCCTCTCTGCTTATTCCTGTTAAAATATTTATAGTACACTGAAATTGCCCATTATTTGTGTTTTCTTTTCTATAACATTGTAAATTCCTGGAAGGCGGGGAATTTTGTTGTATACCCATTGAATAAATGAGATGTAGGTACTCTTATAAATATCTGTGGAATTAGATGTGCTTATTTATTTATTTCTCCATTTTTCTATAGTCTAATTTCTATTGTCAAGAAAAATTGTTTATATGATAAATTGTTTTTATGTTAATAAAAATTTGTTAGCTTGTTCTAAAGGAAAGGGTGGAGTTTTTTTAAACACTAGACCTAGTAAATAAGTAAGCCATAAGATAGTTTTTAAAATAGAGTTTTCTTAATTTTCAAGACTTTAAATATAGGAAATTTGCTTCTTTGGTTTAACATACATTTTTTTGGGAGGGTGCTGGGGATTGAACCCAGAGCCTTGTGCATGAGAGGCAGGCACTCTACCAACTGAACTATATCCCCACCCCTAACATATCTTTTTTTATGCTTATAATTTTTGTGTATAGTAGTAAAAAGGATTTAATTTTCTCAAGTTTCTTTAAATTGAATTGTCAATTCAGTGATAACCATGTAATAAAATTAGTTTTTCATCAAGTCATTATAATTGGTTAAATAACTTCTATTTACTAGCCTTCATGCTATGTAATACATATTTAAAAGGGAGTCTAGAAGATAGCATAAAGCTATGACATCATCTGAAGTCTAACAACCTATCGAAACCAGTAAACATGTTGGTGTATATTCTTTGTTTGTTTTTTGTCGAGGATACTTCCCCCCTCTTGCCCCCAATTAAGGTTCATATCTAAAATTAATTGGCTGCCATTTACATACACCTGAGAAAAGTGCATTCTGATATTTGTACTCCATCAGAAATGGGAAGTGAAATACATGATGGAAATTGTATTCCATATCATAGTGGTTTTCAATCCATAGACTGGTACTGGCTATATAGTAAAGTTCTTACTGATCCAAGGTCAAATAAGGAAATTGTAGTGATGATGAATAGTAATATGATTTTTTTTCAACATATATAGTGTCCTATATTCTGAGTGTGTTTTTGGAGAGTTAAAATGTTCAGTCTTGTGTGAAATGTTGGCAAAGGTTGGTCCAATGTAGGTAAAGATGATGAACATATTACTTTGTAAAGTACAACAACAACAAATAGTAATTCTGTGTTGTTCTCTGCTTAATTATATATATATATATATATTTTTTAGTTTTAGATGGACACAATGCCTTTATTTTATTTGTTTTTATTTTTATATGGTGCCAGGGATCGAACCAAGTGCCTCATGCATGCTAGGCAAGTTCTCTACCACTGAGCCACAACCTTGGCCCTCTGCTCCAGATTTTAAGAATGTTATTTCAGTGCTGTATGAAATTTAGAAACATTTATAATGACTACTGGTGATCATCTTATATACTTCTTTTTAATTAACCATATAAGTAATTAACATTGTATATTAATTTCTCATGCTTACTAGTTATTGAGGACATTTTATGTTTTTTATTCACAGTACCTGGTTATGGATTATTATGTTGGTGGGGATTTGCTTACTCTGCTCAGCAAATTTGAAGATAGATTGCCTGAAGATATGGCTCGATTTTACTTGGCTGAGATGGTGATAGCAATTGACTCAGTTCATCAACTACATTATGTGCACAGGTAAGTCAGTCCTTTGTTGCATCCGGCTATGAGTTACCATGTAATATCTACAAACTGAAGTATTTTTCTATCAAGTTTATTAATTATGGTCTTAGATGCATTGCTCATCAACCAAAATGGTTGATTTTGCTTATTTTGTTGTTGTCATTATTTAATCAGCATTATCAAATAGATGTTCCTGCTTATACATAAATTATCTATATAATATCTAAAAGTACCTACTTAGTCAGCATATTTGAGAGAACACTTCTAAAAACACTTATGTTAAATTTACTTATGATTTCCTTTCTAAAGGAGTATGCATTGGCCAGTTTCCTTGCATTCATTCTTATGTATTAATCATAGCTGAAATTCTAGGCCATAAATAATAGTTTCATTTGTTAAGTAAGACTCATGTTATATAGTGTGTTTCTCAAGAAAATACTTTCAAGACTCATATAACCATCAAAAGAGATACACATTTCTTTTCGTAGAAAATGGCAGTTTTTATATTCATGGAATGATTTCATTATAAGCTGTTTGATAACAATTTATTAAAAAAATTCTCTACTATTGTGTGTTATATTGTACAGGATAGAATCAAAAGAAAAATGTAGGCCTGTTTACAGAATGGTTTTTACACAGAGTTGTTCTCATGCTTGTTGACATAAGTTAAAAATCCCTTTCTCTCTAAATAGCTTAATGATTTATGGATAATAAATAATTAGAAACATTTTATGGTTTAAATGAAAGTAGGAAATCATCACAGAGTTATTGGTGAATTAATCATTCAAATGAGATAAATCATTGGGTTATGCTAAATGTGAAAAAGAGAAGGATTAGGAAGTAGGTAAAGGATTATTGCTGTGTTAGGAAACAGACAATTTATAAGTCACTGATTTTCAAACTTCAGCTTGCAGCAAGAGTCCTGGAGGACTTGTTAAAATCCAGATTGTTGGGTGAACTCTCGAATTTTTAACTTGATAGGTTGCATGGGATGGGAATTAGTATCTCTGACGCAGCTGCTGATGGGAGTTGTGCTGGTGCTGGTGGTGCTGGTGCTGGTGCTGGTGCTGCTGCTACTGCTGATTGAGTAACCTCATTTTGAGAACACTTCTAGGGTAGCAGGGAATATTTCTTTTATGTTCTCTGAGAATAACATGTATGTGGAAGCAAGGTGAAGTATCTGTTTCAGTGTTTTTTAAGATATGATTTTTTAAAAATATTGATTGGTTTAATTAGTAATGAACTTCTGGGGACATTAATAAAGGAAGACTATTTTTATTTAAATAATAAATAAAAATAAATAATAAATAAAAAAAATTCTATTTGGGCTGGAGGTGTTGCTCAGTGGTAAAGCAGTTGCCTAGCATGCATGAACCATGGGTTCTGTTCCCAACACCTGCCCACTGCCCACACACAGTTAATTGATATCAATTTGGCTTTTGCCTATTTGTATGGTTTTTTCTGTTGGTATCTGGTAGTCACAAATTTTTACCAAAAATAAAGACAGGAAGATGCTTAAAAAATGGTTTTATGGTCTCAAAGAGTAAATTACAGGATGAGAAACTATAAGGCTTTTTTTGTTGCTTAAACAATAATTCAGTTTCCTAGCTGAGGACTATTATTTAAATATATGAAAATATCATTTTATTGAATCCTTACAGAATATTGGTTACTAAATAATCATGGAGTCATAGACTAGAGGAGTTTAGAAAGACTTGACCCAGTTCATGTCTACATTCTTGATGAGGAATGATTGTTTCTGAAAATTATTCCTCTAGTTTGAGGATACTAATTATGAGGTATTTGTGATACCCCATATTCTTCCAGGCTTGTGACAGATTCTTAAGTGATCATAGCACCCTTTTTTACTGAGGGTATTCGTAGTGTTATAATTCTTCTCAACATAGCATTTTAGGTAACAGCTATCTTTCTGATATTGTCATGTGGATTAAAAACTGTATCAACACTGAGTTCTGCTTAGGTGCCTTTAATTTTAAAAGGTACCTACTGTTAAAATGAATCCTCTTTATTCCATTGTTGAGTGGCTCTGATATTATAGAATTCTATGTTATCGTCACTTAGAAAGTTCTCACACTCTCCAAAGCCTTTCTTCAGGCTAAATTTCTAAATATCTATGGTTTTCCTGTTATCAGAATTAGTATACACATTCTTTCTTTCTTATCCCTCACATATTCCATGCCCACTTCCAAGTTGTTTTGTCCTCTGTCTTTACCTCTTTCTTTACCTTTCAGTGGATGTTCCAGTGTGTTAATACACTTTTAATGTTTTCAAAATGTGTTTCCAATTTTCTGAATAGACTACTTCCAACTAAGACTCCATTGAGGAAATATTTATTGATTCTTCTTTTGTAAAGAGCATAGTGTTAAACCATGTGGAATAGTAAATAGGTATGGTGTAGTCCTGACTTTTAAGAAGTTACCAGTCTGTTTAGAGACATACAATGTAAGACAGAAATAAAAATTTAAATAAATAATCACTTAAGACAAAAGTGTAAGAGATGTAGTGAGTTCAGGCTGTGAATTGCTAAATGAATTATATGAACAAATTACAGTCAGCCAAATTGGGATAACAAATTTAGTTCTGATTGTTAGTTAATTTTACTTTGTCCCATGGACTTTACCTATATTCTAACAATAATTCTGTTATTTAAATATCATCTAAAAATGGCTATTGTTCTATTTTATAAATGAGAAAACCAGACTCAGAGACATGAGTCAGTAAATAGCATGGCCTGGATGAAAATCTAAGTCAGCCTAACTCCAGGATTCATGCTCTTTGCATAACATGTTTTCCTAAACTTTGATGGATGAGAAGACTATGTGTTGGCAGAGAGGAAGGCATTCTCAATATATATAAGAGAAAAGTAGGAGCACATAGGCAAGAAAAGGCAGTTTTGAAGAAAACCAGTTTGGCTAGAAAAGAGAGTTCATGTTGAATTTGATAGGATATTTATTTGTAATTCAGATTTGACCCTTATCATAGAACATGTATCATGTTATTGATCTTTCAGGAGCTAATAAGCTACCATTGATTTCAGGTAATAGAGTGTTTAGTGGTTTTAGTTTAGTTTGTTTTTGGCAAGCTGCCTGTCATAAAGTTTTATGAAGTTTTCTAAATATTTTATAATTTATGAACTTAACGTGGGAGTTAGAGAATATAAGAAAGGAATAGTAGGGACAGGATATATTTAAGGAAGGAAATACTTTTGTTTTTCATGTGTTCTTTAAAGATAAATTTATTTACATACTTATTTATAAAACTACATTATAGATATTCTAATAGCACAAAAACTTCAATAAGAAATTTGCTAAAAGACTTATCAAGAGATAAATGAGCAATAGAAAGTAGCAAAACTGAGAAGTATAAAGTTCTTAAAAAATCCTCCTTTCCCCACTCCCACACATGTCCATTTTCAATATCCCTCACCAGAGTTGTTATAGTTGATGAGTCTACATAGATAAATCATAGTCACCGTAAGTTTATAGTTCATATTAGGATTCATTCTTCTTGTACATTTCTGTGGTTTTTGGCAAATGCAGAATGACATATGTGTACTTCTATATTATTATAGATGGTAGTTTCACTATCCTAAAAGTCTTCTGTGCTCCTTCTGTTCATTTCTTCATCCCCTCTAATCCTTTTTTTTTTTAATACTAGCTCATAATTAATTGTAGGGATTCTACAATTATGTGAAAATGTACAGAGAAGCATTCCCCTGGCGAGAAAACTCCTGGGGAGTGGACTGGGTAACAGGCACGCTGTTTCCCACCCTTAGAATGCCCTGCAATCTTTCTTAGGATCTAGTAATATAGCTAATATATGTGCAGTGTCTAGCTGGTATGGCAATGCCCTGAGAAGCCTCTGTGTTATTGCCTCATCAAGCCTCGACCTTGATTGCAGGCACATAACTCCTAGGAATAAAGGAACTTGCTTGATAACTACAATGATTGACCAAGCTCTGGTGCTTCTGGATCTGGCCACCTGACAGAAACTTCAGACAATGGACTTTCTTGAGAACTACCCAAAGATCCTAACATTGCTTATTGTAATTGTGAAATATTACTGCAAAATAAGCAACCTTACTGATACTCTAAACAATATTGTAGTTATGGTACTAATGACCTAATATAACCTATTGATATAAATAAATGTGGTTGCTTGGACAAGGAGCCACTCTGCCACTTTCCTGCCTCTGTACCTTGTTTCTGTCTACTCTTTATTATTATTCCTTACACATAATTTTGCCTATTCTAAAATGTCATATAGTTGAAATCATACAGTATGTAACCTCTTTAGTTAGCTTCTTTCACTTACCAATATGCATCTAAGTTTCGTCTTTATCTTGTTGTGACTTTAGAGCTCATATTGTTTTAGTTAATAATATCCCATTGTCTAGATATATACTAGTTCATTTGTTCATTTACCTACTGTTTAGTCAGCTTTTTCACCACTGTGACTAAAGGACCCAACCAGAGCAATTGTAGAGGAGGAAAGGTTTATTTAAGGGCTCACAGTTTTAAAAATCTCAGTCCATAGATAGCTGGCTCCAGTCCCCAGGGTTTGAAGTGAGGCCCAACATCATGGAGGAAGAGTTGGCAGAGGGAAGCAGCTCATATGGTGATTGGGAAGCAGAGAGATTCCACTCTCCACACCCCAGTAGCCACACCGCCAATGAACCATTTTCTCCATCCACACCCCACCTGCCTCCTGTTATTACTCAGTTAATTCCATGAGGGATTAATTCACTTATTAGACTAAGGCTACAACTCAATCATACCTCATATCCAAACCATAACACCTACCAAGAGACTTGGTGATTGCCTTCAGGGTTTTAAAAATGTTATCATTATTGTGTTATAATCTTCCAAGTTTTGACAGTTAAGAATAAAACTGATTTTATGAGATTCTGTTTTCTCTCTTATAATCCATATTATCTACCTTTAAAACTTTTTAGTGATTGTCTTTGAGCTTGAAATTTCTATGTGGAACTAATC